GCTCCGGTATAAACAGAAGAAACCAATTTCTTATAGAGATGAAAGCAATTCATTCAAACTCCAGATTCACAGCTTTTCTAGCTATAAATGCATGCATATTAGGGTTTATAAATATGATGCCCATAGATTGATTGTTAGGATGGATATCACTCAGTTTTCTGACTGCTTGATGTAATACAGGGTCATGGGGGAGCCAAGCCTATGTTATGATGGGTGTTTGCCTTAATTGATCTGCTATTGAACTTTGGATTAACCCAGACCCTCCACATTCTCTCTTACCATTGGATGTTTTTCAGAACTTGTCTCACAGATGTAGCATAACAGAATAAAACAGACTTGGAACTTGATTGTAATTTATTAATATCGAACTGTCCGCACTATGCCATTGATTTGTGATTAATACAAGACTTGGGAATTGTCCAGCACCAAAAGGTGATGAAAGGCATAGTGGGGCATGCACCACAGATGACTTATACCTCCTACTTTCCATGGACAGCGAGGAGCTTTCTCTTAACAGAATCACTCGGAGACCATATAACATTTGTGACCTTTAATTTGCAGTCTGGATTTTCTGTTTTTTTAGTCATTTCTTGTTAATAGGGTATTTTTGGAAAAGTCACCATTTGTTGTAGAAGAACTGAATTTGGTAGAAGATAGCTGTCTAAAACCAGGAGCAGGTGTGCTGTGCAGCTAACATCCTTATTTTTCTGTTGAACACCCTGTCTGTTACATTAGGCAGCAGTTGGAACATGGCTTTGCCAATTTCTTTTTATGAGGGGAAAGGTAATGGAACATTGTTTTTGCAGGACTTGGTTGTCAAAGACCTGTACTGTTTTTGTTCAGTATTGTCTATGAATTTTAAACTGCTTTTTAAGACTTGCGACCTCAGATCTACACTCGGTCTGAGAGCACTTCTTTCCAGTGGTGTTCAGATGAGCGCAGAAGGCTGAGACTCGACTATCATCAGATGTCATTTCAAAACTGGTTGGGCTGTGACTTGCCAGTTCCGGGCATTGATGTTGCCTGCTAAGAAGACGCCCTTCCGAATTCAAGAACCTCCAGCTCTTCTAGTGCTCTTCTAGTGGTTAGCTGCTCCTTGGGGAAATCCCGGCATTATTGGTTTATAACATTCAAAACTCAAACTGGCAGCTCCTTTTGACCAAATGCTGTTAGCGTTTGAGCCTATTCAGAACCTTGACAAGGCTTTTTTTTGGTTAGAATCGGTAATTGTGTAGTGATAATTTCTCAAATCATACCCTCTATTAACATTGGAACATTTTGAAGTGTTCCTGTACAGCTGCATTTTATTTGCTAAATCAACTTTTACAGTTCTGGGATCTTAAATATGCAGACTGATGCATGTTTAAAGTTTCATGGCTATACCAGTGTCGCCCCCAACATTCGTGCAGATGGCTGATTGCATTTGAATGCAGTCTAATATACTATAGTGTCTAATGTCCTTGTTCACCTTCAGAGACCTAGGAGGGCTTTGATTTATTATCCTTGATTTGTTTGATTAGCACTTAAAAGGTGAAAGACCCTTGACACTGAATAGATGGAAACCTATATGGAAATAGGTTTCTTTATTCAAATATTAGTCTCTTTTCAATATTTCTTGAACTATTGTTGTCAATACCAAGGGAGAAAATACTGAACTGGCTTGCACCCCACATAATACTGAAATGAGACTGTGGTTTCCAGTGCCTAGACAGTTGTCAACCAATTGTTGATTTCTTTGGTCTGATCCCAAATCAAACATGACCTGGAGGTCAAAACCTCTCCAAATAGCATGTAGATGTGTTGGAGAGCAACTATCTACAGTTTGTTTCCTGCTGTGTGCACAGTGCTTGCAGATAAAATCAACAAGCGTGGTTGGCATTTGCTCATTCAGGATGTCATTCAAAGGTGTGTTTATTTGCTTGATACTGTTCTGTCTTGAGAAAATATTTTTTTTTATTCTGTTGCTTTGTTTAAACAGTTTTGTTTGCATACATCCACTTTAATGATATTCTGTGTGCTGTTGATACAGCACTTAGTGCACATTTGTGTGAAAGGAAAGGGTCTGCTGTTTTCAACAGGTGTTGGAAAATCAGCCCCAGTTAACTCCACATGCCTTGGCAGCACAGCATCAGTCTGCTTGTCCGTATTTCATAATGGCTCTTTTTGATTAGGATTTTTTTTAGAAAAAGCTGATGCTGCTTTAGATCTTTAACTGGCAACCAGTTGACCTCTTTGTACAGATGTCATTTAACGGGGTATTCTACTGCCGCTGGCTCGGAGGAAGGGAGAATGTTATGCATTCTCACCTTTTAACTTTTCCATTTCTCCCAGTGTATTCCATAAGCTTTTTAAATTGGCAATGTTTAGTGTAAGTTATAGATAAGCTTACAGTGATGTTTGATAATTTTAATATTGCTTTTAAGGTAAGAATTTGTACTTTTTACCTTTTTGAAATTCATTTAGGTCAGATGTTATTTTTGTAGATGGCTCCAAGGTTCTGTTTTGGAAATTAACCACATAATCAATATGAACACATTAACTTGGATGTTTGCTGTAGTGTATGGCCATATAGCTGTCACAGGTGTTGTCAATGAAGATGGTGTTTTATTACGTAGAAGTTGCTTTCTTGTGAAAATCCTTATCCTTAAATTCACATTATGAATGCACTCATTTGACATTTGAAAGTGTCTGGTCTGTAAGGACAGTCCATTTGTGTGAATCCAGGTCACCTGTACAAATAGCTAATGCTCTTAACTCGGTTTTTACACATGTAATACTTCAACAGTCTTATTTTAGTACCTATGAGTCTGTTCAGTAGTACATAAGAAGATGATGCCTGACTTTGGTCACTTCATTTAAGGAAGCCTAGTATATTTACTGTTAAATTACTTGGTAAACTAGCTCTTGTCTTTTCAATTAATTCTTTTGTCTCATATTTGCATCTTGTTCTTGTGTCATTTCATTCTGTAATTGCGGTCTTTGTGATCTAATTTATGTAAATTGTGCAGCTTAATTTGCTTTATAAATATCCAAGTAATTTGCATTGCACCTGCCCTTTATCAGCTTGGTTATTCTTGAAAGTTTAAGTGTAAATTAAACTTATCCACAGAAGGTTTGTGGAATAAAAAGGTCTGGCACCTAATCAACGAGCAACATTAATAAACCTAGCTTTTGAGGTGGAACATCCTAGTAAGTTTAATGTACAGGCTTAAAGGCACAGTGATTGTTTTATTGTTGAAGCAGTGGGAAGGACACTGTGATTTTAGTGTGAAACTTGTGGGTTTGATAGAATTTTGACCTTCGATAGAGGAAGAAACAATGACATACTTAATCACATGCCCCTTTTCCTGTTTGCAATGTGTACATTAGTTTACTTTTTAAATAAAATTTAAATTTTAACATGAACAGAACAGTGTGTAGGAGGATAAATGTCGGCGAACTTGTTGGTTGGAACTTGTATCAATTGGAACTGATTACATAAATGAGCAGCTCTCTACATCAGTCCACGGTGGCAGGGGTTACTGTTGTTAACCTTCTTGGATACATTCCTACCAGCTCTGCATAGTGGATTGGTGTTGTGTGTGCGTTCCTTTTTCAAGTAAAATATAAATTGGGAATTCAGGTTAGGAGTAGGCCTCTTATGGACATTCACACTATTGTCAGGTCTTTTTCATGCTTTTCTATGTGCTTTAGGCCATTATCCTGCTGAAGTGCGAATTTATGGTCCAGTTTTAGATTGTGACTCAAGCATGGTTTCATGCCATTTACTGAAGAGTGGTTGAAACCTAGTCTTTTTAGACTTGTAGGTTAAATTGTGGTTTTAAAAGTAGTTTGCAGAATTCTTTGGAAAGTTACATAAAGCCTGAGTGGCAGCCTTCACCCAAGTTTAGTCACCACTGGTCTGAGGCCATGGATAGACCTGGATAGACGTGGTCTTACTGTGCAGACATCTTGTACCTAGAATTACTGAAGAGCTTGTTAGGCTCGAGAAATAGGTGCTAGATGTTTTTGTCAGTATCGAGCACTGTAGTGTGGAATTGACCTAAAGTCATCATGACAAGACGGTGTGGTTTCCCGATTTTACAACAGTTATCTTTATTCTTGCTATTTAAGTACTGTCATGTACGGTCATTGTGATCTTGTGCTTAGTACTGAACTGTTAAACAATTTCTTGCAAAAGTATTCAGACCTTTCCAATGGTGCTCCATTTGGTAAAATCATAAAATGATGCATACACCATTTCAAACCTCAATGCTGAAACTGAAGGCTAATAAGCTACTGTAAATGCAGTGAGCAACAACTATGGTGGAAGCACCTTGGTGCAGTTTGCCTTGTTGCCCTCTGGTTCATTTACAACCACAAACAAGTGTGAAACGAGGCTCTTTAGTTGTGGGAGCCAAGGACAGGATATAAAGATCTTATTGATTTTAAAATCCTTTGTCCATTTCAGCTTTTCTCATTTTCTGCTCCCCCAGATCTCCCGTCACTTGGACACCCTTTTGTCTATTCTCACCTACTATGCTTTTTCCTCCTCTCTTTCCCACCTGAAAGAAGGCTGAACTGTGAAAAGGTTTCTTCCATATTTCAGCTTAGGTTTAACCATGTGTGGAGTAGGTTTTGTATATAACTGCTGCTTTAGTGTTGTGATTAGAAGCTTCTAGTCCCAAAATGTGAAAACTACAAGGGTCCACATACTTCTGGAAGCCACTGTGCTTTAACATAAATTAAACCTGCAAATATTGGCGGCCTCTGTATGAAGAAATATAGCAAAACATAACTTTCAAGAAAAATCTGGGTCAGATTCTTAGTTAATTGCTTAACCAAATCAGGTAGGTGGCCTCTTTCCGATTGAAAATTTTTAATCCTAGAACTTCCCTAATGTGTTCGTTTCAAGCAGTAATTGTTCAGTTGCTTCCAAAAGTGTGCGTTCCACTGTTGAAACAGTTCACTAATTGGTTTAGCTTAATAAAAAAAATATAAAAAGGATTAGTGGAAATGGACAGTGAATTCAGTTTCCGAATATGCCAGTATTTAGTTTGCAGCTCCTTCTATAGACGGGGGTGTTGAACGATCCAGTTCTAGTTTGATCTTTGTTGCTTCTAGACAAACTGGAAATGCAGCATCCATGGTCAGCAGTAAAATCATTCACTTTTTTTTTCCAGGGATTGCTGAGCAAATATTTAATCGCCAACTCTACAAACCCAGAAAGCAAAGTCTTCTATTTAAAGATGAAGGGAGACTACTACAGATATCTTGCCGAAGTTGCCGCTGGGGATGACAAGAAATGTAAGTGTATGCATGTTGTTCTTGTCTTCAAGATTAATTATTCCAAAAGTGTTTCCTAATTCAGTCTAATAAAGTTCAATGTCTTACTTTTAAAAGTGTTTGGTGAATTGTTGGAGCGCAGATCATGAAGGACTAAAGGTTAACTTTTTTCATATTGCACCATGATGAAAAATGTAGAGTTGTATGGTTTTAGCTGTGTCTCCCAATGTGGGCTAAAGCTCAGCACGTGTTGTTCTGCTTTGTTTTATGCTGCCACCAATCACGTTTATTCTGCATGAGCACACTTGTGCTCCGGCTTTGATTTTTCAAACTGACCAATGGGTCAGGCGTGCTGGCACATCTGGCTTAGCTGTGACTGTGGCAGTTGTTGCATTAAACTTTTGTGCTCCCCTTGGTAAATACGTTGAGTTCTCCGACATGATGGAGCAGCCGATTGTAAGACTTCATGAATCAGTTGAAAGCTAAAGTGTGAACTCAGCTGGTCTCACTGGTCAGCACTCCCTTTTACCAGTTGCAGTCTTTAACGTGTTTGGACTTGAGTCACTGTCTTCTGGTTGTACAAGGTCTTGAAGAGGGCTGGGGAGGTGTAGTGATTGTCAGTGTATATTGCATGATCCTTGTCTAGCAAGCCAGCCTCACTCAGGGCCCAGTGCTGCAATGGAGTTAGTCTCTACAGGATCCATGAGTAGGCTAATTTAATGTCAAATGAGGACAGCATTAATTCTGACTAAAATTTACTTGCTTGGGACATAGTGACACAATAGTGATAGTTTTGGAGCTATTGCGATGTTTTGTCAAGAACAGGAAATTCTTCATATGTCGGGGTCCCAGTAGAACACTTTTTCTTCAGCACAGTGTAACCAGTTAGTCTCGCGTCTCTCAACTCTAAACCAGTAGCAACTGTGCTAGTGATTGTAGTAAGAGATTAAGTTTGTATGGCTGTTTTGAAAAAACAACTTAAACAGCTGATATTTGGTTGGGTAGAAAAAATATTTTCCTTAATTACATTTTTTTTTTGCTGCCAGATTACCTAGTGTTCTAGTTTGGGTGAATGTAGTCGCCCAAGGTGGCTAGAGTTCTAGGATCTTTAATACGCCCTTATAAGAGTTTTTAAATGTTTGCTTTGGTTGCCAACTTTTCGAACTTGGCACTTAAACGTAGGTTTAATTATCCCCATTGACCAGTCAGCAAAGCTCTGCGATGGAAAAGAATGCTGAACAATACTTCCAGGATCTGAATAGTAATGTTCTCATTATTGTGGCAGAATGGAAAACATCGTAGAACTCTCTGAAATGATTAAAATCCTATTTTGCGACACTAAATTGTTTATACTACCTGTATAAATCCTGCGCATATGACAATTAAAATTACTTTCATTATTCAGCACCAGTAAGACATTATTGTAATTAGTGACTGAATAGGATTTAGTCCACAAGTTTGTTAGTCTTAGCAAGGCATTCGTATATTGCTTAAGTGGTTTGTTTTAAATTAAAAAGGGCTCTAGGCGGTATGTAAATAACAGGTGCTGTTAAATGTCTTCTGTTTTTGTTTGAAGGAGATTGTGATGATTGAATTTCAAATTGTTTGCTTGAAACAGCAGGCAGAAAATTGTAAGCCTCTGAGCCGTGTTGATAGTTGCTATTGCAGCATTTTCAGTTTTTAATTGAAAAGATAACTTGAACACCCTCAACAACTGAACAAATTGCTTGTGGAAACTAAACATCAGCTCAGTCCAGGAAGAAGCAGGAGAGTGCAAAAGGATCAAAGTGGCTTCCATGCAAGTGAGTTTAATTACTTTGTGCAAGGCCTTTGAAATTCATTAAGCATATTTTGTGTTTCTAGTCAAAGTACCACGAGTGGCTTGTCTTTGTGTTTGGATTAATACTGATTTTTGCTTTAAGCAGAACAGTTGGAACATGTCTGTCAATATATACTTGAGCAGCTGGCTGGATGGTGGTTTTATGGTCGGAACATGTTGATAAATTCCAAATTCAAGTTGGTTCTAGACTTGGTTTTGTTTATTTCGAAAAGTCTCATTTTACATGTTCCTTGAGGCAGGCTAGTTCAGGTGTCGGTACTCTCATACTTCATTATGATTGTGATTTCCATAAAACAGCTATTAGGGAAACTTGACCATTGTCATAGGATGTCTTTGGCACACCTATCAATCACACTTACTATAACTGTTAAGTTTGATAAATTTATCTTGATAAATTTGTCACTGGT